GAGTTTTTTTACAAAATTTAGATGTTTTTGTACAGCTAATGTGCAGGCTGTTATCGGCGGAAGAGTTATACTATGAAAATTACGGTTACCGTGGTATCTTTGGGTATTTTTTTCTGGTAGAACGATGTTTTCAATCTTTTTGCAACTTTTTCATAACTTGGTAACGCTTGGCGAGTTAACTTTAGAATGTAGTTGTGTCAGACATAAATTTTTGAAAAAGTTAAGAATGCTACTCGAAATTAATGTTGGTTTTATTTTCCCGCCGCCATCAGTGTAGTTCTGAGTGGTTCTTAAAAGAGGGAGAGCCACTGCTAAATTTACCAGCGTGTGGTTGCTTTTGACACGTGTTTACCACTCAGGTCACCTCAGAGGGCTCCCGCCTTTTGTAGCAAACGAATACGAAAATGCTTTTGAAATGCTATTTAGTGGCGTGTGTAAATTTGACCGAACCGCCATGTACCTAATTGTAGCGCGGGGTAAAGACGGGCCGGTCCGCAAATTACTAAAATATGTTGCGGCCCAGCCCAGCGCTCGGCTGTGAACATAATCTGAAATCCTATTGACTCGGAGTTGGTCTAGAAAATTGTTATGGTGAAGAATTAAAGAAGGAAGTGATGATAAAAGAAGAGGATTGCAGAGCTAAGGACATGTGACATGAAATCGTATGTCATGTTGTAAAGTCATGTAAAACGAAATAATACAGGGAAGAATCTGCCTGTGTTTCATCCCTTAGCTGTAAACAAAGACAGTAATCGGAAGCGGATAGGGACGGATTGTCTTTTTTGTAAAACGAAGTGTAGCTTATTTGTTGGTTACTCCAAGCAATCTGTTCTCGTTTAGATGGCGTACAGCGCTACTGGTATCGTTGATGTTCGGTATCCCAGTAATGGCCATTATGATTTATTTTCACTGGTTTCGTCATACCTCAATGCATCCCGAAGCACAAACCCCAGTATTCACTGCTGCACTCAGTCTTGATAATCTCGTTTTATTTCTTTTATGCACACCTGTTCAAGTAATTTTTTTTTTTTGCTTTTTTTGAAAAAATCTCCTGAAAACGTTTTGAATTATAAAAAAAAAAGGAAAAAAATTCGTCCATATTTCAATTTTTTTTCTATAGTGAGTGAAAAAACTCAGAAGTTGTCGGATTTGGAGAAGTGACTTTTTTGTACAGTTGAATGGGCCCTCTCTGCTGCTCTTTCCACTCAGATTTGATTTTGGGACTTTTTATATTAATTTTTTTTTTGAATTATTGCAACATTTCAGCTTCTTTTCTATCACTTATATTATCATTATTGTTTTATATCTAGTTTGGAGCGAAAGACCAAATCCAAAAAAGAATCCCGTGGTTCTTGAAATAAAACAAATTTACCAGTGCCTTAGATGTTTCCTATAGTTGTAATTTTTTTTAATTCAAAATCGGATTTGTTATTTTTGATGAATTTTGTTTTTTTTTTCAGATTTTTGGTGGCCAGTATTTTTACGTACAAAGTTGGAAAGCATTGAAACATGGTACAGCAAATATGGATGTTTTGATTGTGCTTGCAACAACTATTTCATATGCTTACTCAGTTGCTGTTCTTATTGCTGCAATTGCTTTTAGGTGATTTCTTTTCCTTCTATTATCCAATCATTTATTGATAACTAATAGATTTGTTTTATTTCAAAAACCACGAGATTTTTTTTTTGGATTTGGTCCAATTCGACTTCGCGACTGTTTGGTCCACGGATATTCTAAATCTTGATCTCTGTGATCTTTTTGATCGATCGATCCACTGATGTTCTTGATCTTGATCCATTGGTGATTTATGACTATTTGATCCACTGATTTTCTTGATCTCTCTGCGCATTTTTCCCACATCTGTACCTGGTTATGTGAAGCATTACAGGTGGCCGAGCAGCCCAATGACGTTTTTCGATGTGACACCCATGCTTATTACATTTGTTGCACTTGGCCGATGGTTAGAGCATAAAGCCAAAGGCAAAACATCGGAAGCATTGAGTAAGCTAATGTCACTACAAGCAAAAGAAGCAACACTGGTGACGAGGGATGAAGACGGCCGAATCCTCACAGAACGGAGTATCGATGTCGAATTGGTAACTGATGTTGAATTTTATTCTTTATTATTTCTACTCAAACTTTTTTGAATAAAAACTGTGAAAACCGTTGGTGAAATGGAAAAGTTTACCTGGAAAAATGTAAAGACCGCAAAAAAGTTGATGGCAAGAGCGGAACTTCTTGGGATGCTTATTGGAGTTTGAGCTACAAAATTCACAATGTTTCAAATGAATTTGAAAATGGCCAACAAATACTTGTGGACAGATTCTCAGTGCTTGTTGCATTGGATAAACGAAGGTGAGAAGCCGTGATACGAAACAAAGCGATGAATTTTTTGGAAGTACCATTTAAATTGCTGGTCTTTCTAATGAAGTTTTCATGGCCTTCTTTTTTTTTCTCAGGTTCAAAGAGGTGATTTGCTGAAAGTTCTCCCGGGTGCTAAGATTCCTGTCGACGGGACAGTTGTGGATGGAAAAAGCGCAGCGGATGAATCGTTCGTGACCGGTGAATCAATGCCTGTTGTTAAACGGCAAGGTAATTTTGTCAGCCAGATGTTCTAGTTTCTTTGGACGTTTTTTTGGAGCGCTGTTTTCATCCGGTTGGCTTTAACATTCGGAAAGCCTATGCTTTGACTTCTGGGTAGGCCAAAAAAGCGCTACGTTATATTTTATAGACTTAAATGTACAAGTTTTGTTTGGCAGAATTGTAGTATAATATGATTTTGAGTTAGTGACGAGCACGGAATGATCTGGAGGCGCACTGCCTGTAGTACTTTTGAAACTTCACGTAAACTTCAAGCATTCTTCGTAACTTGTATCAGTGCGTTTCGTGCTTATATAATCTCAGGAGAAGCTTGGTGTTGCTCTATCTTGTCTTAATCCGTGCCTCCTGCGCTGTATCCGGGCTTCTACCAACCAACACCACCCCCTCCCCACTCATGTGCATTCCCCTCTCCCTCCTCCGTCGCCAACGCACGCGACCCAATAGCCGAACGCCGTGTATCGCTACCCAGCACACCTGGCAAATTGCCAAGCGGCATTGACGAGACTCGTTGCGAAATAGCTTTAGTGAACTTGCAAAGTAACAGCCGAGCCGAACCGTGTTTTAGTAATTGCCATCCTTACTGCCGATAATTAAACGCAAGTTTGGATGTTTGATGAGAAACTCATATATCTTTCATTTTTATAAAATCGAGCTCATGCCATGCATTTTACAGGTAACACAGTGATTGGTGGATCAGTAAACCAGAACGGAGCACTACTCATACAGGCCACACATGTTGGCCAGGAAACAACTCTGGCCCAAATAGTTCGGCTAGTTGAAGAAGCACAAACATCAAAGGTACATTTCGTGACTCATTTTTCTTCTCCCTCTAAATTTCTTCCCGGATATCTTCGTTTATTTGTAGGCACCAATTCAACAAGCAGCTGATCGAATCGCTGGCTTTTTTGTACCACTGGTTATTGGATTGGCAACACTGACACTTCTTGTCTGGGCATTTGTGGGATTCTATGTGATCGACATCGAATATGAAGTAGAGCATTTACGGAGAATTTCATACTTATACTCGTGGGTCAGCTGTGTCCTATTTACAATTGACAGAACCTTTTCCGTCGATTTCACTTCTGTACTTCTCACAATTTCCGCATTGTTCGAGCATTGGGATACATTGTGGGCTAGCGTGTCACAAATTCTAGCTACTGTGATTCCTGGCGATCTTGCTACAGCACAAAATAATGCAAAATTTGCATGATCGCACCGGCCCGCCTGGTGCATTCCAGCCTGGGTTTTCATTTGTTTTCTACCATTCTTGCCACATAACCAGCCCAGTGTCTTTTTACAAGCTTTTTTGTTAAGTTATTTATACCACAACGTGACCGTAGCTTCCACTGGCTATAGTTTTGTAGTTTGGCGACACTGCACATTTGTTTCTCTATTATCAGTCAAGCATGTATGAGAATATTTTACGAGTTTTTTTTTTCTTTTTTTGAAAATACTATAAGAATATTTTAAGAATAGAATATTATAAGAATATTTTCTTATGAGAATATTTTTTTTCTTTTTTTTTGAGAAATTCGTTCATAATTATCTTTTTAGGATAGAACAACACGACTGGAAGCAACACTGAAACGTGCTTTCGAAGCAGCAATCACAGTACTGGCCATTGCATGCCCATGTTCACTGGGACTGGCAACACCAACTGCAGTAATGGTTGGCACAGGCATTGGCGCCGTTAATGGTATACTGATTAA